TGCTGTAGTATAGATTTAGTTTGACAAGATTCTGTCTATAAGGTGTAAGCAAATAAAGGAACTGTACTGGCCTGGACTGTTTTACCATTGTTCTTGGGCTGGTCCTGACGTCAGTCTTGCCAAACTAAATCTGTACTACAGCAACTAGTGGATATACCCTGTGAGATTCTAGGGAGAGGCTATCCTGAATCTCTTTCTCTTCTCACGCTCCCCCTGCAGACTATGCTGCCTCTTGCCTCCTCCTCCTCCCTGGAATGCACCCCCCCCTTCCCGATAGCCTTGATCTCCCACATCACTCTCCTCCTCATAGATACATTCCATCACAATTGTCTGGTTATTCATCTTTTGGAAGGTAATATGACTACCTTTAAGAGAGTGAATTATAAATATGTACTTGATGTTTCCAGTGTTGGAATGACTCCAGTGCAGTGATAGAATTAAGTGTTTAATCAGTACAAGTAAATTTCATATAACATAATGTTTATGTTGATCCATGCCTGATAATGCAACATGTTAAAATTGGAGTAAAACAGATTTACCATCATTTATTTTCAGATAAATGTAAATAAGAAAAAGTTTATGTCTATGTCGTCATAGCTGGTATAGGATGCTAATACAGTTATGTAGTAGAAAATTTAACTGACATAGGTTTCATACAATTCTGTATAACTAATCGCACAGAAGTTAGCCTACTAGAGTTTAGGAAAGTACATGAGATATGCAGGGTAAAAGACCAGATGCTAATCTGTCATCAGCAATGCTTTTGAAATCTATTTACTATAAGGAGATTGTTGTCTTCTGTAGATAATAATCGCACATTTACTTTTATGTCTTTGTACTACTTATGGCCACTTTTTTCATACATCACAAAGGATAATAAATTTTAAACCAACAGAGTTTTAAACTATTTCAAACAAGAGGAAAAAAACCTTTACTACTTAGATTGTCCCTTTATAACTATATGTTATTATATATTCATTAAACTGTAACTTTATTTGTAGATTTCCAGACAAGGCTTAGTCATCTTCATGGAATGCCAGCAAGGAATATCAAAAAGGTAACAGGAAACACAACTGCAATGGTGAGCTGGTTCTCATAATTTATTGTGAACCACATTTTCTTATTAAATTATAGCATATGCTAGTATCTACTGTCTGTGCATAAGTTAAAATAATTGCCCTAGAGGACAAAAAACATTTGATTCTTCAGACATTTTTAATAGTTGGCTCTTTTTTCTGAACTATACCAATCATGGTATGCAAAGTATAGATATATTAAATGATGGTGTGGTTAAATGATGATGTGATAGACAAGATTGATTGATTGATTGAGCTAGCTAGCTAGCTAACTAGTAAGCAAGCATAGTTATTTATCAATTGCCTCAAACCTCCATCCTTTATGTTTCTGTGTTTCTGTGGTTTAAATGACCTATTTCCCTCTTAGTTCTGGAAAATTCATGTATCTTTTACCCTAAAGTAATTGAGCTTTGATGATTAGAATGCAATGCATGCAATACTATAGACAGGTTTGGAGAAACCTAATCTTTATTTTCTTTATTAATAAAATCATTTTCTTGTTATGGAAACTAAGAATTATTCTGTTATAGTAGACAAAATATAATCTGAAAACAGAAAAAAAGCATGTACCTGTCAAGTTTATTTGAAATGATAGGCTATAATTAAAATATCCTGGATTTTTACATGTACACTTGATAAACATGACATTGTGTTAGCACAAAAAAAATCTATTTGTGAAAACTAGTTTGGCTAACTAAGTGAAATCTTAAATTTCTTTGTGCAAGAGTAGCGGTTCTGGGTTAAATCTACTTTAAAACCTTGGCCTGTGAACTTTGCCTTTAGAGGTAATGAATCAGATGAATGGTATCTAGTTGCTGGTTACAGATCTCCCTATTTTTATTTTTGGTTCACTGCTTGCTTGAGCATATCTGGGATTTGTAGCCCATTTTCTAGGCTTACTGCAATCTCATTCTGGTATTTTATAGATGCTATTACAACTGATAGATTAAGTTCATGGTATTGATGATACATGACTTAACTACACTAAAAACTGCATATCTCTTCTAAATTGTAAAAAAGATTATTATGTTTCAATTGATGGAACTATAATGTGTGTACGTGTATATACACACACGTGGGTGTGTGTGTGTATAAATAAATGGGAGTCAAGGTTTTTTTTCTGATATAAGATCTTAACAGCTGAAACATTATCTTTTTCCTGCAAAATGCACAGTAAATAATATTCATTAGTATGATGCATAGACATATTAGAAGTATTATGCTGGATAATTAATGCTTTTTATTACACAAGTTATTGTGTAACAAATTACTACTGTTCATTTTAGAACATAGCATTTGCGGGGAGGATAGTATTCTGATTTCTTTGTAGATTTGGCAGGGAAAGCATTTTTTTGGATAATTTTTATTCTGATAATATTCCATCTCTCTTCCCATATATATTAAGCTTGCTTTGTATTATTAGTATGTATGTTGCTGCTTCATGCAACTTAAAGAAGCATGAAGTAGTAACTTCAGTATAGCTGATTTCCTGCTTTACCGGCAGCCTATACTTCCTACAATCAGTCCTCCAGACACACCCAATAGATTTGCCTTAAAAATTTGACCTGTCAGGACAGAACACATAAAGTTATTAGTTATCAGTGAGGGAATCTCAAAAGCAATCTTAAAAATGCTGAAAACCAATAACAAAAGGAGGAATCTAATACCTGTGACATCTGGTAATGCTGAACAAGAAGTAATTACTGCTATTAGATTGTTACACTGAAAGCAAAAGTGCTTTCAGAAAGATTGATTTCCTGAGCTAAATAGGATAGTGCAAATGCAACTCTTTGAACAGAATTGAGATGATGACCTAGTCTTTCACTTTTAACACGGGTGAGTTTGCAATGCCTGTACAGGAACAGTGGCTCAGTGCCTATGAAGAGGGTGGGGGTGGGGGGACAGGACACACTTTCTGATGAGGTATCATCTGAGTGCAGGGCCAAATCATAAACTGCATAACAATGCACATACAGGTCCGACCATGCACTTCTGTTCAGTTTGATTAAATCATATTATGTAATAGATTTGGGTTTCCCAGAAATGAGCTAAGTATGTATAAGTTAACTACACAAATATCCGGGATGGCTTTTCGGAACACCCATCACTTAACTTTTATAACTATGATGATAAGATTACATGATGATAATACCTTTATTATAATAAAGAGTCATAACCCATCTTGTTTGTTATTGGTTATTATGACACATTATTATTATTTAACCTTTTAAACAAAGGAACACAAAAGACAGCTTCAAAAAATAATGTAATACCTGACAAAATGAAAACTCTTTGAAGGGAAATAGAATGTATTATGTCAGAGTCCTAGCTCATTGACTTTAGTACAACTTATTCAAAGAAAATTGGAAATAAAACCCATTGAACTCAGTGAGATAGTCATCTCAGAAACATGGCAATATTATTGAAGATCAGAATCTTGGGAAAAAAAGTTTGTTTCAATAAATTATTTTTCACCTTCCTCTCTAAGGCACACTAGTGGAAACAGGTGTACTTCACTTAAGAGGCTGTCCAGATTCTGTGGCAGTATTAGCCTCTATGTAATAAATCATTACATAATACATTCTTTGACACTTATCTGACTAATCAGTACTTAACACTCTCATAACAAAATTCTCAGACATCAACCTTTCTAAATAAGATTGCTCAATTATAATAGGCAGAGATATAAAATTGGTTTTCAACTATTATCAACAGTAAATGGGAGTGCAGTGTAGATAAATTCTTATTCTACAGTATTAGTGCACCCTAAGAACCGACTTAAGTGGGTCAGGAGTGAAGGAGTGAAGACTTCATAAGCTTTTTTTATCAAAAGTGAACAGTGAGGATATTACTCAAAAAATGGGCAGTCATTTGTCACAGATGCTGGAGAGGCTGGAGTCTGTATACCTTATTGCTGGCAATTCTGCATTTATTATATATTTATGTTGAAAGCTCTAATTTGTTTCTTCTGTTAGAATGGAATTATTGATATCTAAACTTTGGAAGTATAAATACTTCCAAGAGGCATATACATAAAATCAAAATATAATCAGAATCATACTGTCATTATTATAATATAAAGACTTATACTGTGATTCAAAATGCAATTAAATACATAAGATTACTTTTTATATCTGATACCACTTTAATTGCAGAATTCATCTCATACATGAGGAAATGCAGGGTGGGGGTATTAATAGTTAGTAAAATTTTGTAAAATCAAAGAAATTAATTGTGCTGTCTGAATTGTTGGGAGGGGTACATCTATCCCAATATCCTTAGTGTAATATCATTTACTTATTAGTAGATACTTTCAGTGGTGGTGGGTGTAGTTATATCCATCTGCTAACAGTATTAGAACATTACTTTTATTTATTTATTCATGCATGCAATTTCTATAGCCGCCCATCTTAATCCAAGTGACTCTGGGCAGCAAACAATTTCAGTAATTAAACCCATTAAAACAATTACAAATTATACATATAGGCAGCCGACAGTTATCATAAAAATTACATAAAAAATCAACAGAGCAGCCTAGTAATGGGGCCCTTAACGCTTTCGGGACCCCAGGCTCAGTCACATAGCCAAGTTTTTAAAACCTTATGAAAGGCTAGCAGGGTCGGGGCCATCCTGAGTTCCAAAGAAAGAATGTTCCAAAGAGCAGGGACTCCTGCTGAGAAGGTATTGTTATGAATTGTAGAACAATATTTTCAGGAATGTTTTTGAATGTGGTAGCTTGGAGTTGATATAGATTCTGTGAAATAGGTGGACAAAACATCTCAGATCTAGATACTGCCTCATAGAATGGGTGCTATTGTATGCATCTGTTTGTCAGTTTGTGCTGCCTGCAGTATGGAGATAGAAGTTCTGAAAATTTTGTCAGATTCTTGTAAGGATTATTTGGATAATATACATGGAGGTCAATGAACATTCAAGAAGCACTTTATGATGTTGTTTTCTAGCAAGATATGCACTGGAAAAAAATTGTCACAGACTCCATGTCACACTGTGAATCTTTGCTTTCTCTACTTGAAAAATCACGTATTTCTTAGTAAAAGTTGTAAACCATAAAGTAAACACATGGGTAAGCTTGTGTCCTTATTGGAAGAGAGGATGAAAAAATTTGAAAAGACTGAACACTGAAATACACAAGGGAAGCTAGGAAATTCCTGGGAAGGACAGATGAAACTCAGGAGGGGTAGAAAAGGGAATAAACACCAGAGAACATCAGGGGGAAGACCAGTAGAAACTTGTGACACAAAAAAGCAAGAGAAGGTATGGTTGGATCTCACAACTGATGGAGCTCACAACTAGTATCAGTCTCTCACTCCTGAAGACAGTCCACACCCACCTGAATAAACCTTGCCAATCTCAGAAGACAGACCCCCATGGCTCAAAGAAACCCAATAATCACGTCGAAGAAGAAGTGTATCATGGTCCATAATGCCCTGCTGAGAGAAATTGAGGTTGCAGTATACAGATTTAATATGTTGCAGGAGGTATGATGTTTTCCCAATGCTCATATGCAGGATGTGGCAAGTAGGCTTCTTCAGATCAATTGATAACTAGTCCTTCTTAATAATGATTTTGGGGATGAACAATGCTGCTAGAAAAAACCTTGGTGGAACTCCAGAAAATATGGGCCCTGGCCAAGAAAATGAAGGGACCAGAATGCAATTAATATTTTTCTAGTCTTTCCAGTTGAGGGTCATGTTGAAAGAAAGGAGAAGAGGTTCCTAGAGGTGAACTACTATGTAAATGGAGTTACCGGAAAGGATTTGGGTACTTGACTCCCTAAAGGATTTTGGCAAGCTACAGGCTATATCTGACAAAGACTAGGAAGGAGATACATGGCAGACATCTTTTCAATTTCATCAGGACAGCATTAAACTAGAAAAAAAAAGAGGTAGCAAAAGCCCGCAATCAAATATACTTCAAATGATTGGAGCAAACAGCACAACAAAGGCGAAGCAAAGGTTTGGAGAAGGAGGGGGCTTAAGATTGG